ATCAAAAGCACCCACAGGCGGTGGTTTTGATTTATCTGTCCCTGATTTCAAGAACACTATACATGAAAGAGTTTTCCGTCATTTAAGTAAAATGAATGGTTTTAAGATTTCAAAACCCACAGATTGGGACTGATGGAGAACACCTGTAATTTCAACACCTGGGAGGCAGAATTAGGAGAACTGCTCTAAGTTTAAGGCCAGCCTGGTGTACAAGGAGAGTTCCAGACTAGCCAGGATTATGTAGTAAGATTTTGCCTCAAACAAGCAAAAAACAACAGAGGCTGAAGAGATGGCTCAGTGGTTAAAAGCCACATACTGCTCATGCAGAGGACCCAAGCTCAGGTCCCAGGACCCACATCCATCCGCTCACAATACCTGTAACTCCAACTCCAGGGAATCTGATGCCCCCTTCAGGGCTCCATGGGAACATGTACTCATTTATGCATACACACACACACACACACACACACACACACACACACACACACACAATTCAAAAAGCAAAATGACTCTCTTAAAGAAAAGAACAACCACCACCAACCGCCTGGAAGGGTGGCACACACCTTTCATTCTAGGACTTAGAGACAGAGGCAGGAGGATCTCCATGAGATCAAGGCCAACCTAGTCTATATAGTAAGTTCCAGGCCATCTGGGACTACAAGGAGTCCCTGTCTCAAACAAAAAAACAAACAAACAAAAAACCAAACACCTCCCTCCCCTCATTAATTCCTCACAGGTTAATATAAATTGTACCAGCAACTAGAGATATTTAAAAAGGAAGGAAGGAAGGAAGGAAGGAAGGAAGGAAGGAAGGAAGAGAGAAACAATTAAGCTGAAGTTCTTCGCTCTTCCAGAACTAAGTGAATTTGACTCTGTCAAAAGATTTTACATTCAGGGCTAGAGCTAACCCAACAGTTAGGAGTACTGGATGCTCTTGCAGAGGACCAGGGATCATACCCAGTACCCACATGGTGACTCACAACCATCTGTAACTCCAGTTCCAGGGTATCTTTTGGCTTTCATGTGCATTGCACACACATGGTACCAACACACACATGCAGGTAAAGCACCCATACACATAAAATTAAAATAATAATCCAGGCATAGTGGGTGCACACCATTAATCTCAGTACTCAGGAGGCAGAGCAAGGAAGATCTCTATGAGATCAAGGCCAGCCTGATCTACCCAGTGTGTTCCAAGACTAGAGCTAGCTGGGGCTGCAGGGAGACCCTGCCTAGGTACATTCATGTTACTGAACACATAGAAACATGGGAAAGCCGATAAGGATGATGTTAACAATGGTTGATAAAACATACTTTCAGTAAAGAACAATTGCATTTGAGTTCAGAACCTCTTCAGAGGGGAGAATGTTGGAGGGGAGGGCGTGGGCATGGATTTGATCAAAACACCATATATGCATGTATGAAATTCTCAACAAAGCTTTTGTAAAAATTAAAAAAAAAAATTTCTCTACAACCAAAGCATGGTGATCCTTGGACTTTGTTTCAAGGAAAAGAGATGGATTTACTTCTGTATCTTTACAGTCTTTCTCCAAGCTACCGACTGGCTGCTTATGATCCTGGTGAGTCATGGATGATAGTGAAGATTGCCTTCTGACACCTTGGGGGAATCTGTAGTTTGTGAGTAAAGTTAAGATTATAACTGGGAATTTCAAGGTAGTTCTTTTCTCTCAAGAGCATGAATGTTAACCAACCAGTTTACAAAATCTAACCAATGCATTAAAAAATATAAGCAGCCTCCTTTGGAAAAAAAAAAAGAAAAGCAGGCAAGTTCCTTTGTGTCCTGAGGTTTTAGAGAGAGCTGTATTTTGTGACTAGCCCTGTGCAAAAGATAGAGCAATTTCACAGTGGAACGTCAGGCTTCGATCGAAGCATACAAGGCTACCTTGCCTGATAGATGTGATGCCAGGCAGAGTATGGGTGTACTGAACTACACTGGAGAAAAGACATCCAAGCCTTGTGAGCAGAGGAAATGATAGGGCAGGAGAGTGAAAAGCCATGGTATTTAGGATTCTCACTCCATGCCTTATACTTGTTCACACAAGATTTGGCTAAGGATGGGCTGTTGTTTTTGTTTTTGTTCTTAGCACATGTATGTATCGGATACCCTTTTGCTTATAAACCACTGTTTTTTGTTTGGATTCTTGGTTTGCTAAATCTGGAGACCCAAGCTTAGGATCCAGAAAACAGAAAAGTAGAACTTCAGAGGAGTTCAGGATAGTGGGAGCGCTGGATCATGTTTTTAAACTGAGACTGGAGACAGAGCACGGATGCAAATTATATGCCTTCCCTCCATGGAGTGGTGGGGTCCACCTCCCTAGCCCCTTGGTCCAGGATGATCGTGTTAGTTGTTTCAGCCAACAGATTTCAATGAAGATGAAACAAAGCTACCCTGCGCAGTCTCAGGATGTTTGTCAGCTTTAACGCTCACCAACCAGGAACTGTATATCCACCATGCTGTAACCAGAGGCACAGAAAGACTCGGGCGTCTTGATCCATACAGGCTCTAGAACTGGGAGAGAAGTTCCATTTTGTCAGGACAGGCATTAATAAAGAGAGAGGAATGGAAAGTAATTTATGGATTGGAACATTCTGTCCTAGAAGTGTGTGTGCGGTAGTGTTGAGAGGGGGGCGGTGTTATGTGGACAGAATCCTAAGATTTAGAAACTAACAAACTTAAACAGGTTCAGGTAACTCATGAAAATTACAAGACCCAGGAAGCTCAGAAAGTTGTAGGATATAGGAGGCCCCTCCTTAAGGTAATGTCAGCAGCAAACAATGGCTGATGGGGGTGGGTAGACTTCAGTGGAGCTTCCTGAAAGTTGGACAGGGTGCTCAAGGATGCACCTTCAGTGCTGATGCTCATCCTGGGGTGGGCTGTTTGGTGACGCAGCTGCCTCTGAGCCCCCCCCCCATGCTTCGAAAGTAATTCCTTACCCATGTTCCTGTAAGTAACCCAAATAAACTCATTGGTTCATTGGGTCCATCCATCATCAGTGTCCCCATGTGGGTTGAATCCACATTCATTTATATCTCCACAGCAAAAGTCACAACATGTCATTCAAATAAATGATCAGCATATTACTTCCCTTTCAGGAGGATGTTGGATGGTTTAAGATTTGCAAGTAAAAATGCTGTCTCATTAGGGAAAGGGGAAAACAGAATTGGGAATGATCAAAAGGACAGCAACTAGAACTTTAGTCTACAGAAACCTAATGATCATACAGTTTTGGAGCTTATCTTCTGAACTTTGTGCAATAGAAATCCTGAGGACTTTTCTTAAAAGGAAAAAGTACCATAGAAGGGTGTGGCTTTATTTACTGCTCACCTGCTATAGTAAAATTTTGGTTCTGCCTGTCATCAGCTTTGGAGAAATTGCCATGGAAAACAGAACACACATGCACACACACACACACACACACACACACACACACAGAAGAAATTATGCCACTATTTCTGTAAACTATAGCAAGTTGTTGATCAAGGAAGTAGCAGAGGCATGATGCTTATACCAGATGCACATCTTACTTACCTGAACTTTCTAGAGCAGACTAACATGAGATTATCCAGCCCAAAATACTAGGAAAAAGCACTTCTCCAATGCCCACCGTCCTGCCTTAACAACTTTTCTTCCCTATATCATTCTTTGTACCATAGTTCAGGCCAAGAGTTCAAGTAAACTATTCATAGTCAGAAAGCTCTGACAACGAAAGAAGGGGACTCTGAAGTGATTGATAGTGAAATATCTACCCTACAAGGTCCTTGTAAAGATCAAATTATGTAGTGTGTTTAGTAAGGGCATTTGACACATTATACAAACTTGATAAATGGTAGCTATGTTAGCTGTGTGTGGCTTTATAGTAGCTCTTAAAACATCCACACTCAACTGCTTTGAATTTATTTGTGCACCTAATCATATTTTCTTCATCTAGCAATTGATTGTACACGGAACACATTTTATATTTGAGAGTATGCCAGTTTATAGCAGACAGTTCCTGTTAGGAACTCCATATGTATTTGTTGAATGGTTGAATGAATGAATGAATGAATAAACGAACGGAATAAGGCAAATGTCCCAAGTTGCATAAAAGAAGACACAAAAGGATGTCGAGTGCTCATGAATAAAGCTTGCAAGCTACAGCGTACATTTCTGTGCAAAGTAGACTCTCAGCGCTGGAGGAAGTCTTCTAGGATCTCTATGTACCTGGCCTCTGGAATAGATGATTTCACTTGTTCTCCCTTAAAAGTGTCCACGCCAGGCCAATTCCACTGCCTTTCCTCATCTTTATTCATAGAAACACTGTTAAGCATGAGAAGCTAAAAGACTTTCCTTGTTCCTGATGTGTTTCCTTTATGATTCTAATAGGGTTCTGGAGGCAGATGCTCTACCATTTATACATCTTGTAAATGACCTAACACCGAATTAGAAAGTCAGGAAACATTGTAGAAGGTAAATGCGTTTTCAAGGAGAATGAAGTGTGAGTCAAGAGAAAAAGACAAATAAATATCAAACAGCAAAAATTAAGAAACCAGAAAGATGGGAAAAGTCATACTCATGCATCTGCTGAATCATCAACTATAGATACAGATTTGTAGCTGAGCTCAGTTAATTTGCAAAAGAGCTCTACAAAAGAAAATTCACTATGCCAAATTGTATTTTATATGAAATACATTTAGCTTAATGTGAAATTAATTTAACTTAATTTAAAATAAAATGTAATTAAATTTAAGAAATGAAAATTAATTTTAGAAAGTCTTTACTTTTAAAATGAATAGCCTCCCTGTCTATAGAGTTCAATATAAAACTTGTTTGCTTTAATTGCTCAGTTAAGATGCCCCCCACCCCCATATCAGAGGGTATCAGGGTAACAATTGGTGAACATTTATCTTACTGTGAAGTTGGCCTGGATGAATGTCAAGGTGGACCATGCCATCTTTTGGCATTTCCTAAAGGATCCTGGTATATTCATCCTACTCACCGTGGTCAAGGATGTATTTTACAATCTCCCCATTGCCAGTTTTAGCTGCGTAGTGAAGGAGTGAACAGTGGTCTGGTCCCTGGATTAGCAGGCTGCCTCCATTCTTATAGCTTTCTATGAGCTGAAAGAGAGAGGCACAGGGAAAAGTCAAGCACCATCCAGAACAAGGATAAAATTCCCAGGTCATAAAATAAAAAGAAGTTAGTAAACCATAAATGGTTATAGCCTCAAAGAGCACAGAGAAGTCCAAAGTGATGAAGTACCACCCCTGCCATCACTCACATAGATGGCTGGTATCTCGTCTACCACTGGGGCATGCCTGTGGATGGCAAACAGCAGAAATAGGTGGAAAGATGCTGAACTGGGTTTCCCCCTCTTCTGAGCCCCAGTCTCTCTCTCAAGCAAAGGCGGAGGGGGGTAGAGTAGAGAACTAAAACTTCCCAAGATTTCCCCAGTTTGTGGGCTGCGGGCAGGAAGAACTAGGCTTCTTTCTTGTGTCTTTAGTTCTTGAACATCTAATGAACACAATTATCAAATGCTTCTCAGTTTCCTACACACACACACACACACAAAAAAAAAAACATACAGCACACATACACATGCATACCACAATATACCCATAATACACACATGTACACCACACACACATGCACGCACCACACACATACACATATACACACACCATTTTCCTACACACACACACACACACAAAAAAAAAACATACAGCACACATACACACACATACCACAATATACCCATAATACACACACGTACACCACACACACATGCACGCACCACACACATACACATATACACACACCAGACACACACAAACCACACATGACACACACAGCCCTTCATTTGTCAACCTGATCCTCCTGTCAATCAGTCATCCCATACACAACAAGGACAGAGATGATCCTGGGGTAAGAACTATAATGATGGAGACAATATCATAGTTTCTGCATGAGAAGACAGTGGGGAAAGCCCAGAACCTGGCCATCAGGGAGTAAGGTAGGCAAATGAGGATATAGCCCAAATTCACAAAGTGTTAAACACTGTGGAAAATATAAATGAGTCCTTGTTCTCTAAACTGTGGCACTTCAAGATAAGAGGAGACTTGGTAAAGTTTCTAAAAGGTAGTTTGAAGACGAAAAAAAGAATCAAATAACCCAGCAGGTTACAAGCAAAAAGAATGCAGAAACAAAGATAAGCATGACTCAGAAGTTCGCCTCAAAGGCCTCTAGAGTCCAGGGAGAGACCAGAGGTGCTATTACAGGGACAGGATGGAGAGATCCAAAAGGCACCAGGGAAAGAGGCAGGGGATGGGAAAGGAGCTTCAGAAAACTACAGAGGAAGCCAATCAAGACAAGGGATTGAATGGAGGTACAGAAGTTGGGGAACCATATCCCCAGTCCATGGGGAGGAGGACAGAAAGTAGCACAAAGATCCAAAACTCAGTCTTGCTCTGTTCAGCTGCATCAGCTTGCAATGATGCTGTTTCTTTGTGGGCAGATCCATTAAAGAATGCAGCACTAATGTGCTCAGACCCAGTATGGGTCAGCTGCCTTTAACTGGCCTTTCCATGAGGCCATACACACTATATTAAGTTAGTTCATAGATATATTACACAGCAAAGCTGCATGTGAACTGGGATCCTGCTCTTTGATCTCATTTCCCTTCCTCTCCCCTCATGTGTTCTTTCTTCTCCCCTCTTCCTTCCTTCCTTCCTTCCTTCCTTCCTTCCTTCCTTCTTCCCTTCCTTCTCCCCTTCCTTCCTTCCTTCTCCCCTTCCTTCCTTCCTTCTCCCCTTCCTTCCTTCCTTCTCCCCTTCCTTCCTTCCTTCCTTCCTTCCTTCCTTCCTTCCTCCTTCCTTTTCCTTCCTTCCTTCCTTCCTTCCTTCCTCCTTCCTTCCTTCCTCCTTCCCTCCCTCCCTCCTTCCTTTCTTCCTTCCCTCCCTCTCCCTCCCTCCTTCCTTTCTTCCTTCTCCTCTTTTTCCTCATCCCTTTGTCTCTCTCATGAACAGCCTGTTTAATATAAGAAGATGAAAGAAAAGAAAAAATATGCAAAGGAAGAGAAAGGACTGAAAAAGAAAAACTTCACTCTCTGTATTTCATCTCTCAGAAAAATAAGGTATTATGTCACTTCTCAGACAGTTAGGGAATAATTATAGTGTGCAATGTAATAAGACAAGCAGCTGGATATAATGATTTCCTGTATTTCAAATAAATCTCTGCAAAATATTTTTAGACAGGGTAGTGATATACTAAAAGACCTGGAGAGCTGCTCGCCTATACTATAAGCATGTAGAAAAGTTTCAAATGAACTGTGCTTTGCAAAAATGCTCAGGCTTAGAAATTCTCTAGGGCAGAGATCAATCTCACTTCCCACGTACTCTAATGTAAGTCCTTGCAAGACTATTGGCAGTATGGCTTAGCCCACTGAAGGGAAATGACCACGAGCTCACAGGAACACTGCCTAGGGATCACACACCTCTTCTTGGTAAAATTCCTAGGGACTATGATCAGGAAAGCAGCACAGCCAGTATGGTAAAATTATGAACCTGGAGCTGGAAACTGGATAGTGTGGTTTCAATCTTTTCCTTGTTTTCTTTCTGCTAGCAATCCACCAAAAAAATCAAGGGCACTCTTTGATTTATCCAGTAGGTGTGCTTTTAAAAGAAAAGGGGAGAGAGAGACAAGAAGGAAGAGAAATGAAAATAAAAGAGAAAGTCAGCAATTCTCTGCTTTCTTTTAGGACCTTTCTCATTCTTTATTGGTCCCTCACTACGTGGGCTGATGGGAAAAGTGTCCTCCATTCAGTCATCCACCACTATCATATGGCACTCCAATGTCAGTGGAGTCACACAAGGTCTTGTAAGCATTCATGATCCTCCAGCATAAATAACATAAGAACAGCTAGATCTTTTGGAATATCCATAGATTCTATTATATAACATAATATAGCACGACTAAAATAGCTAACGTTTTCAAACACTTTCTATATAATGAGCAAAGCTTGACAGGCTTTGTACATATGATTACACCCAACCTTATGACAAGCCAAGAAAGAAGTAATACTGTTATGTCGTTTTACAGATGAAGAAACCAAAAAGAAAATTCAAAAAGAAATTCAATAATTGCATAAAACTATACATATAGTGAATGACAGAACCAAGATCTGAAATCAGGCAACCTGACTTCAGAATTTACATTCATTCTCAAGGCGGTAGTGACTATTTCCTTCCTTGTGAAATAAACTCACTAGAAAATATAAGCACAAATTAAAATATCCAAAATAGACTAGACAGCCTCTTTTGGTTGACTATGATTCTTAAAGTATATAACTATAATAACATATGTAATACTGGGGCTGCAAAATGCATTTCTGGGTAGTATCCAAGTTTTTTTTTATGTGCATCCATTTCCATATCTGTGTGAAAAAGAAGCCTTCAACTTCTAAAGAATACGAGCTTCTAGAGAGCAGAAATTCTGGGTACTATTAGCATTGCATCCTGTGAATATGCAGTCCATTCTAACTAACCAAGGAAAGGCCAGGGTGTTCCAGCACAGCCTTTGCTGCTGGGAAATATAGAGGTGCTCTGAGGTGGCCCATCATTCTCTCTGCTCTCTTCTCAGAAGAACACCTTTCCTCCTTCTACTCAGTCAGTGCAGGCAGGGTGAAGATAGTTAATATACTGGACCATGAAAATTTGGTGAAGTGTGATGTTGATTTAAAGTTCTTAAAGAATCACCAAAGTTTTGGTAGGAGGATATCTTACCTTCATAAGGTCACCAGCTATTACTGCCTGCAAAATTGCTGTGAAAGACAAAAGAGAGATGTCCCATTAGTAGAAGACCCTCTCAGTGAGATGCTACAAAAGAATGGGTCCATATTTTGGAAAAGTAGTCTATACCGGGGCCAGAAACCAGGGAAGGAGAAGCGTGGCAAGGGTGGAATCTTGGTCAAACAGATGAAACTCCCCTCTGCAGCCATTTTCTACCCAGCCACCAACCACACACACAATTCTAGAGCTTTTCTGAGTCCCCTGTAGTCTTAGCACTGCAAAAATAATATGAAATTTAAAGTCAGATCAGTTTCAAGGCTTAGCCCTGATATTCAAAGTTGTAGAAAATTGGCAAACCATTTAAAACACCTGGCCTCAGTTTCCACAACTGTAAATGAGAAAAATTGAACCTTGTGGACCAGATAAAGGTTGATCAGTGTGACTTTTCTTTTCTTGCCCGTTTCCTCTGCCTTGCTCTCCTGGGATTCCATAAATCACCAGCCACTTTTACTGTGAATGCTGTAGTGATAAATACACATTGCCCTGAATAGTAAGAGGATAAGAATAGTGACGAGGAATCCGGTCTTTTTACTGTGCTCTGGACAGAATAAGCACATGTTTGGTATTAAATTAATAGGTGACCATTAGAGAAAGAAGCCTACAGGTTTTAGGTAATTTAAATTACTTTTAGAATATGTAGCCTTAGGGAGAAAAATGATGAGCATGGCACCCAGCACATGCAGCAGATCACTGAGCTGAATGAAGAGAAAGCTCAATGGGCCACAAAACAAAACAAAAGGACATGAATGTGGGAAAGAGATTTGTAGGGAGGAGTGGGATTAACATGGGTGGTAGGAGGAAAAACGGTGAGAGCAATTAGAATGCAACATATATATGTACGTATATATATATATATTTATGAAGTTGTCAAAGGAAAAATTCATTTAAAAAATAAGCAAGAAGTAGCGAGAAATGAAAACATAAAGGGACTTGATATAATATTACATGTCAAAGACACTAAGAAAATATTGGATTTCTTTTTTTTTTTTTTTTTTTTTTTGGAGCTGAGGACCGAACCCAGGGCCTTGCACTTGCTAAACAAGTGCTCTACCACTTAGCTAAATCCCCAACCCCTCTTTCTTTTAAAAATGGGGACCCTGGAATAAAGTGACTCTTGGGGCACAGTGCCAATCATGGTCCAGTTGGCACCATAATGCAGCCCCCTGTGTCCAGCTCAGACTTTCTCTGAGTTCTCTGTGTGCAGAATTCTATGAGGTGTGCTGAGGCCCATTGAAGGGAGAAGAAAACACTTTTGTTAAATTTGTACTATTGTGGAAAAGTGCTAGATTAGGGAATAATCCTGTGTAATTTGCTGGGCACATAAATTTAAGAAATGATTCAGTTTCTTAAGCCATTTTCTCCTTTGCAAATAGGGTCAACAGCTATACCATTCAGTGAAGATCAGAGTATTAAAGGGGACATTATAAACAGAGGGATAGTTTTCAGCAGTTTTGTGACTACAGTAAGTATATGCATGCACACACACATATACACACAGCTATATGGATGGAAGGGTGATTTAGAAGGGACCTTCTAATACGGGGAAACTTGGCACGTGAGGTTGAACAGATGTGTCTCTGTTTACATATGACCCTTCAGATGGGAAACATAAAGGAGCCATGAAGTAGTGTTTAACTTTAGGACATAAACAGTTTTTCAGAATACAAGGGAGGTTGGTGGAAACTATTATCACTTTAGGTCAGAAGGACAAATAAGTTTGGACATCATACTATAGTATGTTCTCCTGGCTAGACTATCCAGATCATGAAATAGGCTAAGAAAATTGAATGAAGGAGCAGCTATAGCAAAATCTTTTTTAAAATTTTATTTATTATTTTTTATTTTATGTGTATGAGTGTATTGCCTGCATGTGTATAAGTGCACCCATGTCATGCAGTGCCCACAGAGGTCAGAAAAAGGCATGGGCCCCTTGGAACTGGAGTTTCGGATAGTTGTTAGCCACTATGTGGGTGCTGGGAATTGAACCTGGGTCCTCTGCAAGAGCAGTCAGTGCTCTTACCCACTGAGCCACCTCTCCAGTCTGAGTTCTTGCAAAGTTTTATAACTCACACCCAGAAGATCGAAACGGCAGCCTAGATTATGTTTTCAAGATTATATAGAACTTTTTCTCAGAATGTAAGTGTTCAGAAAATGAGCAAGAGAAAAAGGTATAAGATGAAGTCGTTATTTTAAAGTTTTTATGCAATCAATTTGGTACATGTATGCAACAAGTAAAGGTAATAGAAGAAATCCCCAGGACAAAGATATCAACCAACCAACCAACCAATAAGAGATACTGGTCAAAAATCTATTGGCTATCAGTATAGTTCAAAGAAGGCTTTGTAGATGGAGTGAAGTTTAAAGCAACTTAGGCCTGAGAAGTAGAATTAATTGGCTAAGGAAGTTTGGAAAGTTCTTGTAAGATGAAGTAAGAGGCTGAGCAAAAATATGGAAGTTAAATCTCAGTGCCCAAGGGAAGCTGTAGAGAACTCTATGTTGGTCCACGGTGGTAGAAAGCAGCCCCATTTCATATGAGCTACAACGCAGGCCACCTCAGCAAGTGCCCATATGCCAAGATTAGGCACTTGGATTAATCCTGCAGGTTGGGGGATGGGATTGAAGAATTAAAAGCAAATCAGAGGAGCACACGAAGCAGGCTAGCTTGATTCTTCTCCTCCTTTCTGAAAACAGCGCTATGCTGGGCTCTCAGCTCCCCTGCCCCCCAACCTCACCACCTCAGTGGGGCCTCTTTCCATTTCTACCCCATATTATTCACAAACAATGCTATTTATTTTTGTTCGTTTCCAGCAGCCTCTCAGTTTGATATCCCAATGAATAGGTAGAAGATCATATAACAGAATCATAGCCACAAATAATTTCCATTGTGCTGGATAAAGAAAGCATGAATATTTCTTTTTAAGCCAAGCAATATACCCGAGGCTAGCTATTATGCAAACATGATTAGGAACAAGGCTCTCTTCTCTCTACTGATTAATGTCCTTCCTTATGAGCGTTGCTGTTTAAGATCTCTTCTGCATAAAGAGAGCCTGGGTCCATTAATGATCAACTCTAGATAAAAACCTTCTAAGAGATGAAGCTTTAAAAACAAGTAATGATCTGTTATGATTATAGCATTATTTTTTATTTCTTGAGCTATGGATTTTCCTTTTTGGCTTTGATAAAGATGCTTCATATTAAAAGAGAGAGAGAGAGAGAGAGAGAGAGAGAGAGAGAGAGAGAGA